ACACACACACACACACACACACACACACACACACACACACACACACCAGCAGTATGTCCTGCCCAGTGGGAGGGGGAAAAAATAGGCAGAAAGGCAGCGGGGCAGCTGCAGCCAAACCGGACTTCAGTCAAACAAGACCCAACACTTTTATTCCTGATTTAAACTAGTGATCTTGTGAGCAGCTGCAGCTGTATACTTTTATTTTTTTCTGTCAGGCTGTCGCGGAGCGCTCCACCTCCTCTGTCCGGGGCTGGTGAGCCGGACAGAGCTAAGCCGAGGCTGCTGGAGCTCCAGGTCCTGATCCACGGAGCCAACATGAGTTAGTCCCAAACTGAGCTGACTTGATCAAGTCTCCCTCTGCCTCTGGTGAGGAGGGGGGTGAAAAATCCTCCACTTCAGACCGTTTAGAGATGTAACTATCTGCGATACTGTGGTCACTCTCCATGTAGCATCAGTTATGCTAATGCTAGCTGCCTGTCGCGTTCTCTCGTCCTGGCCACACCTCCGCTCTCTGTTATTTATACTCTCGGTTACGCACAAACTTCACGTCACCAAACAAAGAGTAACACAGTGTCAAATCAATGAATTCGTGAGAGCTTCGTCTTTTCAAAAATACCAAAGGGAGGGGCATGGAACCAAAACTTGCACAGTAACAGATGCAGAGAACTTCCTGATACTGAAACGGTCCGCGATGGTTCAAGTAACTTACAAATGTTTATATAGCTCTAAAATAATAAAGACACCTTTTGTGACGGACTTAGAAAAAATTTGGGAAAAATAAGTTTTACACCTACTTTAGCAAACAACAATGAAGGACACCATCTGCTGGCCCTGTACAGGGCCCGTCGGGCCTAAAGTTCTGATTGCTGAATGTGTGGCACCACATGATGAGTCTCTGTACACAGCAGGACAATTAACTTTAGAGTTTTGAGTGACAGTGTGTTCTTTTTGACAAGAGATTTTCTTCATGAAAACTGTACCAAAATGCAGAGAATGTGTGCAGTGTTTTGAAAGAASTGTGTTTTAGAACTGAAATGTGAGTTTAAAGCAGGAACTGTGTTTGTAGTTCAGCACAACTGGTTCAGAGCGTTGATGCTGAAGTTTACATGTTGTGGTCTTTTTGTCTCAAAAGCCAGAAAATGTGAGGAAACATTACAAAAAAACCCTGTAAAATGCTTTAATGCAGATTCCATGACATTTTTTCAAACTGAAATACTAAATACTATAATATTATGTAATTA